ACTCCCAGCACCTGAAACCATTACCCAACATTAACTACCTTTAACTACTGTCACCATGAACTGCCGTTAACTCCCAGCACCTGAAACCATTACCCAACATTAACTACCTTTAACTACCTTTACCATGAACTGCCGTTAACTCCCAGCACCTGAAACCATTACCCAACATTAACTGCCTTTAATAACTACCTTTACCATGAACTACTGTTAACTCCCAGCACCTGAAACCATTACCCAACATTAACTGCCTTTAACTTCCGTCACCATAAACTGCCGTTAACTCCCAGCACCTGAAACCATTACCCAACATTAACTACCTTTAACTACAGTCATCATGAACTGCCGTTAACTCCCAGCACCTGAAACTATTAACCAACACTAACTACCTTTAACTACTGTCACCATGAACTGCCGTTAACTCCCAGCACCTGAAACCATTAACCAACACTAACTACATTTAACTACTGTCACCATGAACTGCCGTTAACTCCCAGCACTTGAAACCATTACCAAACATTAACTACATTTAACTACTGTCACCATGAACTGCCGTTAACTCCCAGCACCTGAAACCATTACCCAACATTAACTGCCTTTAATAACTACTGTCACCATGAACTGCCGTTAACTCCCAGCACCTGAAACCATTACCCAACATTAACTACCTTTAAGTACCGTCAACAAGAACTGCCCTTAATTCCCAGCACCTGAAACCATTACCCAACACTAACTGCCTTTAACTCCCGTCACCATAAACTGCCCTTAACTCCCAGCACCTGAAACCATAACCCAACATTAACTACCTTTATCTACCGTCAGCATGAACTGCCGTTAACTCCCAGCACCTGAAACCATTACCCAACATTAACTACCTTTAAGTACCGTCACCAAGAACTACTGTTAACTCCCAGCACCTGAAACCATTACCCAACATTAACTACATTTAACTACCTTTACCATGAACTGCCATTAACTCCAGCACCTGAAACCATTACCCAACATTAACTGCCTTTAAGTACCGTCACCATGAGCTGCCCTTAATTCCCAGCACCTGAAACCATTACCCAACACTAACTGCCTTTAACTCCCGTCACCATAAACTGCCGTTAACTCCCAGCACCTGAAACCATTACCCAACATTAACTACCTTTAACTACTGTCACCATGAACTGCCGTTAACTCCCAGCACCTGAAACCATTACCCAACATTAACTACCTTTAAGTACTGTCACCATGAGCTGCCCTTAATTCCCAGCACCTGAAACCATTACCCAACACTAACTGCCTTTAACTCCCGTCACCATAAACTGCCGTTAACTCCCAGCACCTGAAACCATTACCCAACATTAACTACCTTTAACTACCTTTACCATGAACTGCCGTTAACTCCCAGCACCTGAAACCATTACCCAACATTAACTACCTTTAAGTACCGTCACCAAGAACTACTGTTAACTCCCAGCACCTGAAACCATTACCCAACATTAACTACATTTAACTACCTTTACCATGAACTGCCATTAACTCCCAGCACCTGAAACCATTACCCAACATTAACTGCCTTTAAGTACCGTCACCATGAGCTGCCCTTAATTCCCAGCACCTGAAACCATTACCCAACACTAACTGCCTTTAACTCCCGTCACCATAAACTGCCGTTAACTCCCAGCACCTGAAACCATTACCCAACATTAACTACCTTTAACTACTGTCACCATGAACTGCCGTTAACTCCCAGCACCTGAAACCATTACCCAACATTAACTACCTTTAACTACTGTCACCATGAGCTGCCCTTAATTCCCAGCACCTGAAACCATTACCCAACACTAACTGCCTTTAACTCCCGTCACCATAAACTGCCGTTAACTCCCAGCACCTGAAACCATTACCCAACATTAACTACCTTTAACTACCTTTACCATGAACTGCCGTTAACTCCCAGCACCTGAAACTATTAACCAACACTAACTACCTTTAATAACTACCGTTACCATGAACTACTGTTAACTCCCAGCACCTGAAACCATTACCCAACTCTAACTACATTTAACTACTGTCACCATGAACTGCCGTTAACTCTCAGCACCTGAAACCATTACCCAACATTAACTACCTTTAACTACTGTCACCATGAACTACTGTTAACTCCCAGCACTTGAAACCATTACCCAACATTAACTACCTTTAACTACTGTCACCATGAACTACTGTTAACTCCCAGCACTTGAAACCATTACCCAACATTAACTACCTTTAACTACTGTCACCATGAACTGCTGTTAACTCCCAGCACCTGAAACCATTACCCAACATTAACTACCTTTAACTACTGTTAAACGGTTACTGTTAAGTATTTGTGCAGAATACTAATACTGCTAAAAACCTTACGTTAACCCTCCCACCTTAATTAAATAAAAGCTGCCTGTACTCTGGATAATCATAATAAATCATTCATTATTAATAATATAACATTTGGATTCATCAGAATATTGATGAAGGTGTTGCAGCGCCACCTGCCACACACTGAGATTGAAGGGGAGGTGAAGACGATGTGTGACGGACGGAGGAAGAGTCCTTCTGACTGAATAATGTGACGGGATGAAAAACCCATTACCTGCAGGGAGTATGTGTGTGTGTCCAGGTGTAATATCCTTCCAGATGACTCGGTAGATGAGAAACGTTCAGTGTGTGAGTCATTTTAGACCTACAACACTTTCCAATTCAGAACCTGACAACAGCCATCAGTCACTGTGTGTGTGTTACTGTGTGTGTGTTACTGTGTGTGTGTTACTGTGTGTGTGTTACTGTGTGTGTGTTACTGTGTGTGTGTGTGTGTTACTGTGTGTGTGTGTGTGTGTGTTACTGTGTGTGTGTTACTGTGTGTGTGTTACTGTGTGTGTTACTGTGTGTTACTGTGTGTGTGTTACTGTGTGTGTTTCTGTGTGTGTGTTACTGTGTGTGTGTGTTACTGTGTGTGTGTTACTGTGTGTGTGTGTGTTACTGTGTGTGTGTGTTACTGTGTGTGTTACTGTATGTGTGTTACTGTGTGTGTTACTGTGTGTGTGTGTTACTGTGTGTGTGTGTTACTGTGTGTGTGTTACTGTGTGTGTGTGTTACTGTGTGTGTTACTGTGTGTGTGTTTCTGTGTGTGTTACTGTGTGTGTGTGTGTTACTGTGTGTGTGTGTGTTACTGTGTGTGTGTTCTGTGTGTGTGTGTGTTACTGTGTGTGTGTTACTGTGTGTGTGTTTCTGTGTGTGTTACTGTGTGTGTGTGTGTTACTGTGTGTGTGTGTTACTGTGTGTGTGTTTCTGTGTGTGTTACTGTGTGGGTTACTGTGTGTGTGTTTCTGTGTGTGTTACTGTGTGTGTGTGTTACTGTGTGTGTGTTTCTGTGTGTGTTACTGTGTGTTACTGTGTGTGTGTTACTGTGTGTGTGTTACTGTGTGTGTTACTGTGTGTGTTTCTGTGGTGTGTTACTGTGTGTGTGTGTGTTACTGTGTGTGTGTTACTGTGTGTGTTTCTGTGTGTGTGTGTTACTGTGTGTGTTACTGTGTGTGTGTTTCTGTGTGTTACTGTGTGTGTGTTTCTGTGTGTGTGTGTTCTGTGTGTGTGTTTCTGTGTGTGTGTGTTACTGTGTGTGTGTTTCTGTGTGTGTGTTTCTGTGTGTGTGTTTCTGTGTGTGTGTGTGTGTGTTTCTGTGTGTGTGTGTTACTGTGTGTGTGTTTCTGTGTGTGTGTTACTGTGTGTGTGTTTCTGTGTGTGTGTGTTACTGCTCTCACTGGTGTTTCATGTATTTATGACAGCTTTAAACCAGTTTAACCAGTTTAGTTTACCCTGGTCTGTCTACAGAACCAGAACCAAGCCAGGACCCGGCCCGGTTTCACCACTTTAGTGTGGTCCAGTGAGCTGAACTGGTTTCCCGTGTAATAAATCTGCAGGCCGACACGCTGAGACAGTTTTCCTTATTTTCTCAGTTTTTGTTTCTCTTCAAGGTCAGACGAGCTCGACTATCAGCTCCTCTTTATCGTTTCATCACACACACACAGATCATCGCCTCCTCGGAGGCAGAGAGCTGCTGTTTTCAGTTTAAAGGCTGTGAAAACACCGCTTTGAAGACAGAATGTATCTGTGTGTGAGTGTGTGTGTCGCAGTAGGCCACGGAGAAGCTGTGCTGTATGTGAGAGTGAAGCTGTTTTCTGCTGCGGGGCTTCAGCCAGTCACACTGAGTGGGAGGTGTGTGCGTGTCAGGCGAACAGCTGTTAAGTGTGTTTGAGGCCTGCTGGTGACACACACACACACACACACACACGCCATGCGTGTGTGTGTGTGGAAAGTTTCCACCTTCAGGCTGGTAAATATTTAAATGTAATTTTCTACGAGCTGTGAATGAAAGTGTGTGTGTGTGTGTGTGTGTGTGTGTGTGCGTCCCACCTGTCCTGCTGTCTGTTGTAGACGAATGAAAAGAGGATAAATCTCAGACTGTCCACAGACACATCGCAGTACCAACGTCACCATTTTCAGAATTGAATCACACATAAATATATGTATGTGTGTATGTGTGTGTGTATAAATACACACACACATACATAAATACATACATATACACAGAGACGCAGCTCGCCGAGCTGACGAGCTGCTTTAAAAACACTTGGCGTCCTGTTTGCAGAGTCAGACAGACGCGTCCTGAGAATCATCATGTTTTTAACTTTTCTTCAGGCTAACCTCACGTCTACCTCGCTGACTCCATGTTAACATCATACTTCCTGGTGGGGGGGGCAGTAGCCAGTGCGGTCATGCAACAATTGCTTAGATGTACACGCGGGTCCTGGACTGGTGTTGTAGAAAGTGGTATTATTGAAACAGTTAATTGGGATTAATCAGACGTACTAATTGAACTCGGACGCCATTCGTCCTGTGATAAGCACCGAATTACAAATCGTCCTTTGATTAGAAAGGGTTACGAACACAGACCTGTAACGTGAGTGTGTGTTTCTGACCTGTTAGCTGCTTGTCGCCAGCCGCCGGCGCGATGCGAATGTACGGCGTGGTGAGCTGGGTGACGATTATAGCGGCTAATCATCCAGGAAGGCATGCAGAGAGAGAGAGAGAGAGAGAGAGAGCAGCAGTTTGTACTGAAGCAGGAGGATTAGTAACATGCAGCACCGTCCTGCTGTCCAGGTTCTTTGTTATATCGTCTTTATACTTCAGAGGTGGGGCAGCGGGACATAGTTTAGTTTCCAGAAACAGACCTGAAAGAGAAGCTCGTTAATCAGCCCACCAATCAATCAATCCATTAATCATCAGACATGAGCAATCAAACAGAAGAAAGAGCAGCAGCCGTTCAGAGAGAGGCGGCGCAGAAATCACAGCTGTTAGCTTCAGTGCTAACTGTTCAATAACACCAAAAACATCTGACACACGGCCTTTATATAAAGAGTGGATTAGATATTACACACCGGGTGTATGTTAGCATATGTACACATTCAGGTCAGTATCTGCTTTGTTTGTGCTAAGTAACGTGTAGCAGACACACATGTGTTTCTGATGTTGGTGGATCGTGCTGTTCACTACACACCCCTGTGTATTTATGAACACATGGATTTGACATGTTTTAATTTAAATGAATTTTAAAACAGTTTTTAGGCTGACGATGTAACTGTAAATGTCCACAAAGTACAGATGGAAAATAGTCTTTTGGGGATTTTTACATCAACATTTTATTCATGGGTACTGTCTCTGCTAAACAAACTGAATAAATAAAATAAAGTTTAACAATTTCTATTATATTATTATTTAATATGTACGATGGTTAATTAATTAATTCCAATATAGCCACGCTTCAGATATATAGTGAATATAAAACACATGCTGTATATTGAAATAGTTGTTCTGTATACTGGTGACACTGAGATATACTGTATATGTATTATGTACATCCAGATACGACAGAAAGGATTCATTTTGTCTGTCGGCTCCCAGATGTGTATTTCCTCCCTTTGGTGTGGTGACACGTGAATTAACGGTATGCGTGAGGTGAATGGGATTGTGGGACTTTACGTGTGTGTTTCAGAATAAAAGGAAATCATTCAGCGTGAATCTGTTATTTCTTTGTGTTAAACTGTCCAGTTAACATTCAGCAGACGTTCAGCTCTCCTTTACATTCACATCAGCTCCGCTCACTGTTAGCGCTGCAAGGCACTGTGGGTACTCTGAAAGGGAAGAGTGGGGGGCAGGACCCCCCCTGGGAGATCTGGTTGGCTGCTGCAGCATGACTGACAGGTGCCAGGGGACCAGCAGAGCCAATCAGCATCTGGTATCGTTAGCCACCAGAACTGTGCTCCAATAAAAGCTGATTAAAGCCAGAACAGTCAATTACTGTGTGTGTGTGTGTGATAATCCTGGATGTTCATCGGGGAGATGACAGTGTTTTAGCTTGTTTAGCTGCGGCCCTTAACAGCTCTCTGTACAGCCATAGTCCCAGTCATTAGCCTTGTGTTAGCCTAGCGTTAGTGTAGTGTAGTGCAGAGTTAAGTGTGTGTTTTATGTGTGGTGTGTGTCCGTCTGTATGCAGACAGACAGAGTGAAGGACAGGTGTCAGGGACGAGCAGCCATCTGTGAGCCATTATACTACTGGATGGGAGCAGAGCGCTAACCATTAGCCTAGCGCTCCAAGAGCTAACTGCCATCTGTGTCTCATTACACAGAATGGACTGGCCGCTGCCTGGCTAGCTAGCGGCTACTTTAGTAGTTAAATCCAGTCCAGCAGTCAGCACAGTTCAACAGGGACTCAGCAGAGACCAGAAACTGGGGCAAAACAGCTAATGATGCTAACCTCAGTGCAAAATCAAATCTCCTCTCCACTTGACAAAATAAAATGTTATGGAATAACTTTTAAAATAAAATGGTATTGAATAAATTTCAACGTAAAATATTATAAAATACTTGTAGTATATGAAAAATAAATTATACCCAAATACTGTCACAATAAAATGAACTCTGTCAGAATTAAACTATTCTTTACCTTTTAAAATCCAATTCACTGAAAGCATTTCAAAATAAAATGTCCTCCTGTAAACATCAAACTATTCCATATTTACACATTTCAGAATAAAATTTACTATATAAAAAACCTAACCCAAATACTCAACATGATTTCAAAGTAAAATGCACTTATATTTCAAATTAAAATCTTATAATAAAACACACTTCTGTCAAAACTAAATTAAATGTACTCTCCAACTTTCAGAACAAAGAAATGAACCCCTTTTAAAAATAAAATGCATCATACATATTTAAATGACACAAACAAGATTCAGTATAAAGTGTAATCTACAGCTTTCAAAATAAAATCTACTCAAAACTTAAAAAAATGGAATACTATTCAACATCTTTCAAAATAAAACAGCATCTTTCAAATTAAAATATACCCCAAACATTTTTAAATGAGAATCATGAAATCTGTTTAAAACATTGAAGCATAAAAATACATTCACTTTTCAAAATAAAATGCTGTCTTACCTTTAGTGGCCACCCGCACACAGTCGATCTTTGTCTCCTGTTAGAGAGAGCAGCAAATTAGTTTTCTCTCAACACAGATGCCGACATATTAGGTTTCACGTCTGCACACTTTCTCCAGAAACACACACACACACACACACACACGCACACACACGAGCGTCGTAAACAGAGCGGACAGAAGGAAAATGGCTGTGGATCAGTGCCTGTGCTGGCATTTAACAAGCAACACACACACACACACACACAGTGTTTTTGGTGAAAGGCGAGAGCGAACATCTTGTGTCTTTCTGGTTTTAACAAACAGACGACAAATTAACCACAAGAGCTCATGAATATTCATGCTCACACATACACACACACACACACACACACACAGCGGTGGTGTGTCTCTGCGGTGTGGCGACAGTAAAAAGCACTACTGTCGCTGCATTATTCAACACACACACACCAATTAAACCTCCCAGCGTCAATAATTAACAAACAACATTGTGTGTGTAACAGTGAACAATTATCTGTTTTTACACACTTACGTGACAAAAAAACCACACACACACACACACACACACACACACACACACACACACACACACACACACACACACACACACACACACAGACACACACACACACACACACACACACACACACACACACACACACACACACACACACACACACACACACACACACACACACACACACACACACACACACACACACACAGACACACACACACACACACACAGCCCTCACTGCAGCCTATTAGTGTCTCTGGTCAGGCTGCTGGAACTATCTCCACTCCTATTAAACTGTGTGTGTGTGTGTGTGTGTGTGGTACAGTGTGTGTGTGTGGTACAGCGTGTGTTTGTAGTATACGTGTGCACGTTGTCGGTGTGCGACCTCGGTCTCTGTGCGTTCCATGACAGAAAGAGTGGCGGGAGCCGTGGAACAATGTGAGCCCTTTGTTGTGACATACATGTGTGATTCTGTCACACGGCTGATGGCGAGCTCGGCTGCACGGTGTGATTGGATGTCTTGACGCCTGTCGTTTCTTTGAACAGAATTCAGCCACTGTTTCCTCCGTAATAAACTATTTGTTTCTCTGCTCTGCAGGTTTTCAAACTAAAAAAAGCTCCTCAAGGCTGCAGAACCTGAGAATCTTTATGTTTTTAAGATGTTTTCACAGTGATAGCTGTCTGTACATCCATGCTAACTGCTAACAGCTGACGATATCAGAACTGTGATGTGTGTACGTGTTACCTGTGGACAGGTGAACTCACCCCGTTAGCAGTGCTAACAGCCTGGTAGTAGATCCCATAACTCTTATGAGGCAGCAGAGGAGCGTTCCAGTAACCGCTGTAGGTCCTGTTATCACCTGCACACACACAGACAGCCAGGCACAGGTAACACGTTACCACAAGGCACACTTCTGAAACTAGCATACTAACTAACTAACATTGTAGCTGTCTAACTAACTACATTTTATATTTACAACTAACTAACTAACAAACTAACCAACTAACTAGCTAACCAGCAAACACATTAACTAAGTAACAAAGTACAAATGTAACCAACTAACAAACTAACCAACATTGTAACTAAGTGTAACCAACTATCAAGTTAACTAACATTGTAGCTGTCTAACTAAGAAACCGTTCCGTTTAATAAATGAACTAACTAACTAACACAGTAGCTGTCTGAAATACTAGTTAGCTAACAAACTAACGAATTGACTAACATAGTAGATGTCTCACTAACTAATGAATGAACTAACACAGTAGCTGTCTGAAATACTAGTTAGCTAACAAACTAACGAATTGACTAACATAGTAGATGTCTCACTAACTAATGAATGAACTAACACAGTAGCTGTCTGAAATACTAGTTAGCTAACAAACTAACGAATTGACTAACATAGTAGATGTCTCACTAACTAATGAATGAACTAACACAGTAGCTGTCTGAAATACTAGTTAGCTAACAAACTAACGAATTGACTAACATAGTAGATGTCTCACTAACTAATGAATGAACTAACACAGTAGCTGTCTGAAATACTAGTTAGCTAACAAACTAACGAATTGACTAACATAGTAGATGTCTCACTAACTAATGAATGAACTAACACAGTAGCTGTCTGAAATACTAGTTAGCTAACAAACTAACGAATTGACTAACATAGTAGATGTCTCACTAACTAATGAATGAACTAACACAGTAGCTGTCTGAAATACTAGTTAGCTAACAAACTAACGAATTGACTAACATAGTAGATGTCTCACTAACTAATGAATGAACTAACACAGTAGCTGTCTGAAATACTAGTTAGCTAACAAACTAACGAATTGACTAACATAGTAGATGTCTCATTAACTAATGAATGAACTAACACAGTAGCTGTCTGAAATACTAGTTAGCTAACAAACTAACGAATTGACTAACATAGTAGATGTCTCACTAACTAATGAATGAACTAACACAGTAGCTGTCTGAAATACTAGTTAGCTAACAAACTAGCGAATTGACTAATATAGTAGATGTCTCACTAACTAATGAATGAACTAACACAGTAGCTGTCTGAAATACTAGTTAGCTAACAAACTAACGAATTGACTAACATAGTAGATGTCTCACTAACTAATGAATGAACTAACACAGTAGCTGTCTGAAATACTAGTTAGCTAACAAACTAGCGAATTGACTAATATAGTAGATGTCTCACTAACTAATGAATGAACTAACACAGTAGCTGTCTGAAATACTAGTTAGCTAACAAACTAGCGAATTGACTAATATAGTAGATGTCTCACTAACTAATGAATGAACTAACACAGTAGCTGTCTGAAATACTAGTTAGCTAACAAACTAGCGAATTGACTAATATAGTAGATGTCTCACTAACTAATGAATGAACTAACACAGTAGCTGTCTGAAATACTAGTTAGCTAACAAACTAGCGAATTGACTAACATAGTAGATGTCTCACTAACTAATGAATGAACTAACACAGTAGCTGTCTGAAATACTAGTTAGCTAACAAACTAACGAATTGACTAACATAGTAGATGTCTCACTAACTAATGAATGAACTAACACAGTAGCTGTCTGAAATACTAGTTAGCTAACAAACTAGCGAATTGACTAACATAGTAGATGTCTCACTAACTAATGAATGAACTAACACAGTAGCTGTCTGAAATACTAGTTAGCTAACAAACTAGCGAATTGACTAACACAGTAGATGTCTCACTAACTAATGAATGAACTAACACAGTAGCTGTCTGAAATACTAGTTAGCTAACAAACTAGCGAATTGACTAACATAGTAGATGTCTCACTAACTAATGAATGAACTAACACAGTAGCTGTCTGAAATACTAGTTAGCTAACAAACTAGCGAATTGACTAACATAGTAGATGTCTCACTAACTAATGAATGAACTAACACAGTAGCTGTCTGAAATACTAGTTAGCTAACAAACTAGCGAATTGACTAACACAGTAGATGTCTCACTAACTAATGAATGAACTAACACAGTAGCTGTCTGACTAACATACAAGTTAACTAGATAACTAACTAACTAGCTGCCTGTGTGAGTGACTGACCGATACAGAAGGGCATCGGCGCTCTCAGCTCGCTCATCGGCAGCTCTGCGCTGAAGTAGTACTGGGAGTTGAGCAGCGTGGCGTTCTGGAAGTGAATGGGCACCGGATAACAGCGCAGGATCTCTGCAGTACCTCTGCGCTGCCTGCGGGGCGCTCCTCCTCCACCACCACCTGGTACTTACTGCAGACAGACAGAAACAGGTGAACAGAGTTTCTTGTCATTAAAGGAAAAGTCTGGTTTATTTCACCCCCGGGCTTATGTTGGTAGTTTAGAGTAAAATTACAGAGCGATAAAGTAAGTTAATATCTGAGATCTTTGAATGTGGTGACATTAAAGAGCTCTGAGATAATAACTCTTGTGGTGATTTTGCACTATATAAATAAAACTGAACTGAATCTCAGTGACATAACTAGCAGGCTGTAAACAAAATTCCCAGTTAAAGTAACTGCAAGAGAATTATTAGTTTTTATTATTAGGTAGATAACTCATGGGGAAGTCAGTTAACTAATGACTTAGGCAGCAGTCAGTTAGTTAGATAGTAAACGACTATCTCAGTCGGTCTGTCAGATAACTTACTTAGTAAGTTAGCTAGTATGTTAAGTTGTCATTTGCCTAGTTAACAAATCGGTTTGTTAATGAGTCAGTCGGTCAGTTGGTTAGTGTCACGCTGTACCAAAAAGGTGTGGCGTTTGAAGGACGTGGCTGTTTACCAGGCTCTAATGAAAGACACTACCCAGGTGCATTATGGGAAATGTAGGAGCCACACTGTGTACAGTAACATTTGGACCATTCTGTTTTTAACTACTTTATGGACTTTTTAGCTTTGAGTTTGAGGGGCTGGAGACTATTGACCGGTTTTCTATTCCCATACAACTCGACACATAAAAGTGTTCTTGCCTTCTTCTCACCCATCTGTTGGTTCATTATTCAGCTCCACAGAAAGGTCAGCTCTGTCTCTCCTCCGCTCCATCACTCTCTCCTTCATTTTTATTAACTCTCTCTCTCCATGTAGAGGCTGTGACTTTAACAGTCTGACATTAAACTGATAATTCACGCCGTCCTGTCTGTGCAGGTATTAAACCCTTCATATGGGCAAAGGACAGAAAACAAGTGGAAACAGAGAGTCTGAGATCTAAATGAAAAACCAGACTTTTGTTTGTCAACTGATAATAATGGAAAATAAATTTAAAGCAGAATTAGTTCCCTAAAGGACAAAGAAAGACCAGCTGTCGGTCTGTATGGCTGAAAAGAGGAGTACTCGTGAACGGTGCTTGTTGCCCTGGTGATTCAAAGCTTCCTGATGACTTCCGTTGAGTTTCATTAAAGTTTCAGTCTCCTGAGCAAAAAGAGAAGATAGACTGAAGATCTAGAGAATTTTATGGCAACTCTAACGACTGGTACCTCCACCAAAAACTCTATGTACGAAAAATCTACAGACTCTATGAAAACTCTACAGACTCTATGAAAACTCTACAGACTCTACAGACTCTATGAAAACTCTACGGACTCTACAAACTTTATGAGAACTCTACAGACTCTATGGACTCTATGAAAACTCTACAGACTCTATGAAAACTCTACAGACTCTATGAAAACTCTACGAGAACTCTATGAAAACTCTACGGACTCTACTGACTTTATGAGAACTCTACATACTCTATGAAAACTCTGCAGACTCTACGAACTCTACGAGAACTCTATGAAAACTCTACGAACTCTACTGACTTTATGAGAACTCTACATACTCTATGAAAACTCTGCAGACTCTACGAACTCTACGAGAACTCTATGAAAACTCTACGGACTCTACTGACTTTATGAGAACTCTACATACTCTATGAAAACTCTGCAGACTCTACGAACTCTACAAGGACTCTATGAAAACTCTACGGACTCTACTGACTTTATGAGAACTCTACATACTCTATGAAAACTCTGCAGACTCTACGAACTCTACGAGAACTCTATGAAAACTCTACGAAAACTCACCAGACTCTACAAAGACTGACCATGAAAACTCTGCTGACTACGAAAACTATACTGACTCTACAAACACTCTACAGACTCTACAAAAACTCTAGGGACACTACAAAACTTTATGGATTCTACGAACACTCTACTGACTCTGCTTGTAAAATGAAGGCTCATTACTATGGTTTTATATTTCTCTGTAATGCAGCACAGCGTTAATACTGTTACTGATAACATTCGGTCTCAGCCTGGAACCCAAACCATAATCTGATGCCCCAAAATATTTATTTTATATCATAAACGTGCGACGGCTAGTCGACTAATGGCTTGAACTAACGAGTGGGAAAATCTTTAGTCGAGGCAGCCCTAATGGAAACTCTACCAACTCTATTTTACAGCCTCCTTTACTTTACTGATTCTGCTGACTCGATTAAACTCCACTGACTGAATCTAATGACACCAAAGACCAGTCAACAGCAGAGGGACACTTTTCCACCAGCAGGTGTGTTTGTAGTCCACAGAAACACTGGGCTGCACCTGAACGCAACACAGTGACTTTCCACACAGTGTTTGTGTCCTGAGGGACGCTGGAAACAATAGTTGTGTTTTTCACGAGGGAACCAGATTCAGGACAGAAGTCATATATCAACACACACACATCGAGGATGTGAACGGTGAAACTGCTGTATTGTCATATTTCCTGCTGGACAGGAAACTAAAGGAGGACAGGAAGATGCACACACAGTAACACACACTGCGGTATTGTTTAATCCCCACAGAAACGAACAGAAAAGATTCAATCATCTGTCTTCCACCGCCTTCTGCTTTCTCTCTCTTTTCTTTCTGGTCGTTCTCTCTCCTCCCCCTCACTCTCTCTGTCTCCCTTTATCTCTTTTTCTTCCTCTCTTGCTCTTTGACAGCCCGTCTCCAATCACATTTCTCCACGCTCACATCGCAGCACTTGTTGTTGTGTGTGTGACAGTAATCTGATTACAGCTGCAGGTCGCCCGCAGCAACACCTTTTGTCCTGCAATCCGAGGCTCTTATAAACCAGAGTGTGTGTTGGCGTGTGTTGCACAGTGTGTGTTAGTGTGTGTTGCACAGTGTGTTGCACAGTGTGTGTTAGTGTGTGTTGCACAGTGTGTGTTAGTGTGCCCGAGGGCCGACACTCACTCTGATGTCAGAAGAAACAAAAGCAAAGTTAAATATAAACACACAAACATGAAATCGTATCTCCGAGCAGCATCTGTTCAATCTGATGGATTTCACATCAGCTATCATGTCAATTAACACAGTGCACGTCTCTCACACAAACTCTTTACATCTCCGGTCTTGTTCCTGCACAAAAAGAAAAACATAAATCTGGATTCGCTTGAAATGATCCATTTTGTTCTTTTCAGTGGTCCACAAACACCACGGCCAGCCAGCGTGTCTGCATGCGTTTTATATAAGCGCTCTGTTCTCCCAGGCCACCTGAACATCCCACCAGCTGCCCTGTTTGTTTTTTCTTATCGATCTCTCAAAAGTGACAGAACTCCCTCTGAAAGACTCTCTGCTTCATCAGGAATATCTGACCTGACCAACGTTTGGAGAGAAAAGCCGAATCAGTAAATCATTTTCTGTTATTCGCGGGAGCGAGGAGCCGACGGGAAGTCAGAGGAAGTCTCCAGTGAGCATGCTGTACGGGCTCAACGACACAGACGCCTGAATTATTGATGTTTCTGACATATTCCATCACAGGAACGAGTCGGGCGCCACCTGGAAAACATCAAGTCACCTGTGGATGGTGGAGGAACGTCTACAGGAAGATCTTAGACAGCAGAACTGCACAGTTTGATTAACAGCCGCATCATTTACATCTTTTATACCAATATTATTTTGAGTTAATAAAGTACACTACAGCTGCCTGTTATTTAACGTGGATGGTCACTGTCATATGTACACGCTTCTTGTAAAGTGCGAGCTGGGATGAACCCACAGCGCAGCAAAGCTTTAGTCAGTCTAGATCATCTGTAGGAAATAAAATGAGCTCATCGGCACAGAGTAAAAATGTATTAAGGCCATTTAGATGTATGATTTAGTTGATCTTTTATTGTAGGTGGGGGGTAAGCCTCAGACCTGCTGCCCCGTTGAGGGATGGTCTCTCCACACGGGTGTAAATGGCTTCTTTCACTCCTCCTTCAGACCAGAAAATGAACATTGTTGTCCTAAACGAGTGTCCTTTGTCCTTCAGATGAAGGTAAACTGCTGTTTCAACTCAATTTAACCAGAAGCCATGAGGCCAAAGTGAACGTGTGTTTATTTTCCAGGGCTCCAACAACCACAATGATCGGTACAACAACCAGGAGCGCTGAAGAGCCAGCGGTATCGATCATCTTGACCCCACAGAGGTTCATGTTTCCCCACCAGTCCGTCAGGGTCCAGAGGCCCTTGATTTTAACCTTGCTTGGACAGAACGCCATGATGCTCGCTGACACGTGGCAGAAAGTTTAACTCTTCTCTGCAGCATTAATAAGATCCAGTTTACGTCCTCCTGGAGGATCCGGCTTGGTCTCTGTGTGTAGAAACTCTAGTATCCCTGACGACACACAGAAACTGTATATTTATATACGGGCATTCCCAGGTTTCTTCAGACGTCTGCGCACACAGCAGGACTCTGGGTGTTAGCTTGACAAATATATTGTGTGCTCCCTGAGAGCTCGTTCCACCACATGAAAGCTGCTATTGTTCTAAACTGTCATTAATAAATAGAGACGAACTGAAGCGTGTGCGTTTCCCGTCACACACAAAAGGCAGCGCTCAGTGTGTGCGTGTGATTGACACATTAGCTGTTAATCCCTTGTTAATCCTCGGTGTGAGCAGCAGGCTCTGATTAGCCCCGCCTGCTGATCGTTAATTAACCAAATCCCTCGTTACAGCCAACGACGGAGAGCAGACAGCTGTTGACATGACGACTGTTACCGCGGATACTGCCTCCCTCTGGGTGTGTCAGCTGTAAAAAGTTTGTGCTAACAGTTGTTTTAATTGTCTCCATTTAAAGTTTAGACTACAGATTCAAAGATGTCTGAAGTGGTCTGAGCGTGTTTTAGTGCATCCTTCTGTATCAGTCGGGGTTTTCCTGCCAGTTAACACACAACAACACTGTAAAAGAAAAAAGATCCAGAGTTTCCCCATTAAACCGCAGGCTCCTGAATTCTTCATCATAATATCTGGAAACACTTGAACGTTTCATCACTTTCATTCTGTGTGAAAAACATTTAATAATGAAATGACAAAACTACGTCGTTCTCCTTTGTTGTCTCTGTCTCGCCTAATTGGCATATTGGCACTTATCATATCTTCTTCATACCCACTCTTTACTGTACTGACCTCCCTCTCACCTCACACAAACTGTACATAGACTCTCTCCTGCGCTTTGTATTGTTTCAGACTCTTTATTGCTTTTTGTTCTTCGCGTATTTAAACGACATGTTGTCCTGCACGCCCTGATCTTGGCCAGGTCGCCGTTGCAAATGAGAATCTGTTCTCAGTCGGTATCTTAAATAAAGGTGAAATAAAAAAATTAAACTTTTCATTTGTTTGAATATGCACTCGTACTCTTTAGCGTGTACAGCTCCTGTAAGCACTTTTAGTGTCACTGAGGCCTTTTCCTGGTACATGAAAGAAATATTCAGCAGAAGATAAAGCCTCGTTTTAAAGGACGGAGTGTTTTAGTTCCAGTTTCTCCTTCAAAGAGATTCATGTCACATTTTAATGTTTAACGCTTCAGTCATGAAAGCTTCATGAAGCTGAAGACTGATGCTGTGAGTGTTTGTGTGCGAGTTACCTGACTGGAGCTCCTCGGCTCTGAGCTGGTTTCAGCAGGACCGTGACAGAGGAGTCCGTCTGATTGAGAGGAGACTCCTGATCGTACGCCGGCATCAGAGGAGCTGAGAGGAGGACAGAGTCCGTGTTACAACATGTTCAAACACAAAGAAACTCAAAGACATTTCGTCCCTCATTTGAGAGACTTCTTTGGTTCTGACTGACTGGCAGGGAGTCCCAGCTATTTAACCTCTGTGGGTACTGGTCCACCCCAAAGACCGCACACCCAAACACAAGAAAAGCAATCTAGTGTATGCGGTCCAATGCAGTGAGGAATGCACAGACCTGTATATTGGGGAGACTAAACAACCACTACACAAACGCATGGCTCAACACAGAAGGGCCAACTCCTCAGGTCAAGACTCTGCAGTCTACTTACATCTGAAGGACAGAGGACACTCGTTTGAGGACCACCAGGTGCACATTTTAGACAGAGAAGATGGATGGTTTGAAAGAGGTGTCAAGGAAGCATCTACACCAGGGTTGAGAGACCATGTCTCAACACTGGAGGAGGTCTGAGACACCACTGATCCTCCACCTCTGATGGATCCAAATGAACTGACAAAATAAGAGGTTTGTCTACTTCTTCTACAACAACACTAACAAGTCTGATCATTGTTCCGAACTGTTGCTAAGCACTGCGTTAAGAAGAGACACTGAAACATGGTTTGGGTTAAAATGACTGCTTTGTTAAGGTTAGTGATCAGGTTCGGGGTCAGGATTTGGATTGGGATTAGGATCCGGTTTGTGATCGGGGCTGTGACCAGGATTGGGATTAGGATTAGGATCGGGGAAAAAGGCACCCTTACTTTGGACTGAGCTGTTTGACCTTCCAATAAGAAACATTAATAATAGTCAGAAACAGAGGCTGTGCATAGATTAGGGGTCCCCGGGGCTGGCACATTGGTAGACCCTTCAGGACTGAGGTAACCAGTGATGTGGTTTGGACCCTGTAGAGATCTAGTTTTGTGCCTTTGAAATTAACACTCCTATGACACTCACCTGAGATCTTGGTGGTGAACTGGGTGATGACCGGGGGTCCGAAGCCTTTAACTGTTGACGCTCTTATTGTGAAGGAGTACGTGGAGCCTGGGTAGAGTCCGGTGAACACATGGCTCGTCTCATTGGCCGGTTTGAACACCTTGCCGCTCTGATTGGACAGGTCGAACTCTGTGTCGAAGGAGCTCAGTGCTTTGTAGGAGATCTGTGGAAAACAACGTTAATGTCTGGCTGCTTCACAAGGGATTGTGGGTAATGGAGTCTGTCTTTACCTGAATTCTTTCCTTCGTTGTTGTTTGCTTTCTTTTTGTAAAAATGATTGTGTCAGTACTTGCAAACCAAAATAAAAACCTCACCTCGTACTGCCGGATGAGTCCGTAGGTCTGCAGCGGTTCTCTCCAGCTCAGACTGATCTGCTGCTCATAGCTGCTGCCGAGGATTGAGTCCACCGGGACGGCTCCGGGAACTGAGACAGAAAGATTTACAAACTTCATCTACCTCCAGGTTCAACACACTTTAAAGTCTCCTGTTCAGCAGGTACACAACACGTCCAAGTCCTACCGTCCTCGTCCGTCAGCACCAGCAGCTCCTCGCTCTCCTTGCGTCCCTCGGGGTTACTCAGGACAAGTCTCAGGCTGACGTTGGTGAACGGTGGAAGGTTACGTACGACGTGCTGCGGCACGGTGCTCAGAGTGTCGTACACCACCTCCTCCTTCACCGGCTCCCTGCAGGAGAGACAGGGGGAGGTGGGATGGGTTAATTTACCTCGTGGCCCCTACTCTTTTCGCCTGTCACCCCTCCGTGAGTAGCCCCTCCCCATGTTTATCTGCTGGCTTGTCAGCCCTCCATCTGTGACGGCCCCTTCCTTTAATTTAATATATAAATTACATTTTTAATCTTATGAGGAAATGTAATGTTTGCTTTTATGCAGATGACAAAGTGTTGTACACGGCAGCTCCTTCTCTTACACAGGTTTTCCAGATGTCCCTCATAGATCTTTGTTGGTTTTAAATTCAAATAAAACTAAGTATCTGGGAACAGTGCAGATTCTTTTAAATTTACCACAGTGGAAAATTCAGTTTTAGAATGTGTTTATTCATACAAATATGTTGATATCTGGTTAGATACTTGAGTAGGTAAAAACAATTAAAAATCAGATTTGTTTTTTTTTTACAGAAATAAAACACGCTTATGATCTAAACATAGACGTGACATTGTTCAGGCCACTTTCATGTCGGTGCTAGATTAGGTGATAATACATAAATGCATGCTCCGGCTTCTGTTTTAGAAAGTCTGGACTCTGTTTCCCAAGCTGCTTTTGTACTTGCCTATTCTGTACGTGTTTAACTTTCTTTAAACAAGATTGTTCGTCTAGTTGTAAGTTTACACTCTTTGTTTTTGTACCTGTAATCCAGGGCATCTCTGTAAATGAGCCCTTGGTCTCAGACAGGATTTCCCTGTATAAATAAAGAATTAAAAACTCTCTGAGTGTGCCGGTTGGCTTCTCCTTGACTTTACCTGTGGGCCCTGATCTTTTCTACCTGTGGCCCCTCCCTGTGTTTACCTGCTGGGGGCCGCTGCAGGTCTGTAGCGGTACTGTACAGTCAGGTTGTAGCTGTAGCAGCGGGTCACATTGTATCCAAATGGTTCCCATCGTACCGTCACCTGTTTGGACTGAATGTCGACAACCTCGAGGCGCCGCGGTCCGTGCATCGGATCTGACAGACAGGAACACAAAGACGAACACATATTTAGGTCTCAGATCAGTCTTTCTTGTGACTCTATATGTGGAAAGACCGGGTCCTGGACCTGGGATGGTATCAGCTGGAGCTTCACGGCCTAGTTTCAGCACATGTGATGATACAGAGGATGGGCTGTTCTGAGTGGGTCAGACTGAAAACACTTGCCTTTATATACTGACGCAGGTGCTTGTAATAGTTAATTGTGTTCTTGCTGTCAGTTAACCAGCTTCAGGTGCATCAGAACCTCCTTCTAGACTGGAAGAGAACCGACTCCGGTTTACACGTAGCCAGAAAACAAAGACTGAGGCGCAGATGTGTCAAGAGAAAATGAAAGTGTCTTAAATCTCATCTGGATTTTATCTGGATCTGACACAGAAGTGGAAACGAGGCCTTAAAAGTCGGAGACCGCTCAAATGAAGGTTTGTGATTAAACCCGTCTTCCTGTTTCTGGTCCAGATCCACTAAATATTTTCTCTCATCACTTATTTAAACTGAAAACAGGCTGAACCTCCTGATACAGATCCTGTCAGCAGCTCAGTCACGCTCTGCTGACGTTCGGCCGCCACTCAGTCAATCAGCAGGCGGTCTGAGCTGAACAGGTAACACTCAGCATCTGTCCTGATCTCCTCCATGCAGACCGAAGCATCTTCAGCACTGTTTAGTCAACACGCTGAATCCCACAACACGGCACATAGTGACCGTGAATCCACCCGGGGCTCAGCTGGCTCGACCGGCGACATGAGACCAGAAGAAGACCTGATCACTGAAATGGTTTCTGGCACCAAACATCAAGTCATCGCCTCTTACCTTCTTTTTATAAACAGCACAAAGACGTGCTGTTGCCTTTAGGCCCAGGACACAAATTTAAAGGTATGTTCATAAAAATCTCTAAAATGGACTGGAGCCATGATTTATAATTTGTTGTTTTCACATCATCCAAAATGTTTTCCAACAACTTTCAGACCAGAGACATCCGTCCTTTAGATCAGGGTAACGGTGCGTCTCATTGGTCAGTGGTGTCAGGTCTCCTTTGACATGCCTCAGCATTGTGGCTTTTTTAAACCCACTCTTCATCGCGATGACAAGGAAAACCACCACAAACCCTCATTTATTAGTGTTCAGAAAGCAGAGACCTGATCCATAGGGGACCCAAGTGAAGTCAGTCCTGGTCCGAACAGACCAGGACTATTAGACCAGATCCAGACGGTCCCAAACGTATCTGCGGGGTTCCTCGGGTTCAAGAAGAATCACTTCCCCTCTGGAAAAAATATCACAACTTAATAAAGTGACATCATCAGAGCTTTGAGTCACATTTATTCTTGCTAAGCTGACAGCAGAGCGCTACACGTCCAAACACGACGCTAAAGGGTACCCAGGGCGTTAGAAAGCGACGCCAAGGGGTGTTGGCTAAGCGTCCATGTGTGGCGAGCTGGGACTGAGAATGTGTTGAACAGGAGGACGCCAACATGGCCACCTGCCTCCTTCCTGTTTCCTGCAGGGAATTTAACCAAAAACTGAAGAAACCAGCTCCAACTGAACAGAGAGGGAGGAGGGGGGAGGAGGGGGGAGGAGGGGGAGATTAAAGGAAGCCTCGAACTGAGCACGCTCACACACACACTCTGTCTTTGTAGTGGCCAATCTAAGTGCTGTATTTCAAGATGACAGACAGCGATCCACTCAGAGAGAGAATGATAGATGAGAGCAGGAGAGAGCAATTTCTCCTGACAAAACCCCACTGAGGCTGTGTGAGAGTGTGCACGAGTGTGAGAGTGTGCACGAGTGTGTGTGTGTTTTCAGGTGTGTCTCTGCAGCCAGTGAACAATATGTTTCCTGTTCTTTGTCGTCTTTCATCCGTGTGTGTGGGGTCGATTGTGGCCGTACAGAAAACTTCTGTCTTCCTGTTATTGAGCCTCTCACACACACACACACACACGTGCACACACACACACACACACACACACACACACACACGCACACACACACTGCAGGCTTTCAGCAGGACACAATAGAGGCACTTGTGAGTTTCTCCACCTCGATTGTGCGATGAAAGAGAGACGTGGAAGCTAAATGGAGCTCTACAGGGAACACACACACACACACTGAGACATCGCCGCGGCAACAATGGGGGTCGGGGGTCAAGGGGAGGAGGGGGTGGAGGTGGATCCTATTACCCATAATCCCCGAGGGGAGAGTGAACGCTATCACATAAAATCCTACCATTCCTGGCTGAGCGTGTGTGCGTGCGCGGTCGTCATGGTTCCATCCCATAATTTTTGGGCTGACATTTAAATCAGACACAGGACAGAGCGCCTGCTTTCCCACCAAATGTTACAGAACTACAAACCACGACCTTCAGAACTACACAAGGTCAACTTCCTGTTTGGTGATGAAGATGAGGAGGTCGGTTATTAGAGGAGCTACAGATGGTAGAGGGAGTTAAAAAGTGTCAGCTACTAAAGGACTGCATGAAAGTGAGTGACGTGGAGACGTTGGACGGACAAGGAACCTGAAGCCTGTCAGAAGCAGGACCTCTGTGTCTCTACCTGTCTGTCCTCTGTGTCTCTACCTGTCCTCTGAGTCTCTACCTGTCTTCTGAGTCTCTACCTGTCTGTCCTCTGTGTCTCTACCTGTCCTCTGTGTCTCTACCTGTCTGTCCTCTGTCTCTACCTGTCCTCTGTGTCTCTACCTGTCCTCTGAGTTTCTACCTGTCTTCTGTGTCTCTACCTGTCTGTCCTCTGTGTCTCTGTCTGTCCTCTGTCTCTACCTGTCCTCTGTCTCTACCTGTCTTCTGTGTCTCTAGCTGTCTTCTGTGTCTCTACCTGTCCTGAGTCTCTACCTGTCTTCTGTGTCTCTGTCTGTCCTGAGTCTCTACCTGTCCTCTGAATCTCTACCTGTCCTCTGAATCTCTACCTGTCTGTCCTCTGTGTCTCTACCTGTCCTCTGAGTCTCTACCTGTCCTCTGAATCTCTACCTGTCTGTCCTCTGTGTCTCTACCTGTCCTCTGAGTCTCTACCTGTCTTCTGTGTCTCTACCTGTCTGTCCTCTGTGTCTCTACCTGTCCTCTGAGTCTCTACCTGTCTTCTGTGTCTCTACCTGTCCTCTGTGTCTCTACCTGTCTGTCCTCTGTGTCTCTACCTGTCCTCTGAGTCTCTACCTGTCTTCTGTGTCCCTACCTGTCTTCTGTGTCTCTACCTGTCCTCTGAGTCTCTACCTGTCTTCTGTGTCTCTACCTGTCCTCTGAGTCTCTACCTGTCTGTCCTCTGTGTCTCTACCTGTCTGTCCTGAGTCTCTACCTGTCTTCTGTGTCTCTACCTGTCCTCTGTGTCTCTACCTGTCTGTCCTCTGAGTCTCTACCTGTCTGTCCTCTGAGTCTCTACCTGTCTTCTGTGTCTCTACCTGTCTGTCCTCTGTGTCTCTACCTGTCTGTCCTCTGAGTCTCTACCTGTCTTCTGTGTCTCTACCTGTCCTCTGAGTCTCTACCTGTCTTCTGTGTCTCTACCTGTCTGTCCTCTGTCTCTACCTGTCCTCTGTGTCTCTACCTGTCCTCTGAGTCTCTACCTGTCTTCTGTGTCTCTACCTGTCTGTCCTCTGTCTCTACCTGTCCTCTGTGTCTCTACCTGTCCTCTGAGTCTCTACCTGTCTTCTGTGTCTCTACCTGTCTGTCCTCTGAGTCTCTACCTGTCTTCTGTGTCTCTACCTGTCTGTCCTCTGAGTCTCTACCTGTCTTCTGTGTCTCTACCAGTCTGTCCTCTGTCTCTACCTGTCCTCTGTGTCTCTACCTATCCTCTGAGTCTCTACCTGTCTTCTGTGTCTCTACCTGTCTTCTGTGTCTCTACCTGTCTGTCCTCTGTGTCTCTACCTGTCCTCTGTGTCTCTACCTGTCTTCTGTGTCTCTACCTGTCCTCTGAGTCTCTACCTGTCTGTCCTCTGTGTCTCTACCTGTCCTCTGTGTCTCTACCTGTCTTCTGTGTCTCTACCTGTCTGTCCTCTGTGTCTCTACCTGTCCTCTGTGTCTCTACCTGTCCTCTGTGTCTCTACCTGTCTTCTGTGTCTCTACCTGTCTGTCCTCTGTGTCTCTACCTGTCCTCTGTGTCTCTACCTGTCTTCTGTGTCTCTACCTGTCTGTCCTCTGTGTCTCTACCTGTCCTCTGAGTCTCTACCTGTCCTCGGGTTTTTTAACTGATCTTCTTTCTGTGGAAGGGTTCTGATTGTTTGGTCGCGTTTGTCAGACCCCCCCCCCCCTCTGACCTTTTCAGCGAACACGACCCTGACTGATCGAAACAGATTTCCAACATGACTTCTCCATTCACCCTGCTGACACTCACACTCGCTCACACTCACACAGCCTCGTGCACAGCCTCGTGCACACGCGCCCAGCTGCTCGCCTCTTGTTCTCGGTGAAAGCAGGATATTTCAACCTTTTTACATTTTGCCATTGATTTAATGAGCCCTCTCTCTCTCTCTCTCCCTCAGTGTCTGTCAGTGTCTCTCGCCCATCTCTCTCCACCTCATTAGTGTCGTATTTAGAGAAACGTTCTCATCCGGTTTTCACGCTCGCTCGCTCTCTTCCCACCACACTTACCACGCTGCTCTCTCTGTAAAGCAGTTCCTTATACTTGTTCCAGTTCTAGATGTATGAAGATTAAATGACTAACAGAACTTTAAAATCCTGCGGTGTCTCAGTCTGAAGCCTCATCTACCAACAGTCGATCAGCGCTAACGAACCTGCTAATAACTGCAGCATCCTGAGGCTGCTGAACAGTGGCAGCAGAGACCACTTCCTGTCGAGTCCACTCCAAGGAACTGTGTTCTCTTTTCCACTGAAGAAATGACACTTTGCTCCAATATAAAGTAGTGAGTGTATAACAGTGTAAATCTGCTGTCCCCTCAAAATTACACATCACACAGCCGTTAATATCTAAACCGCTGGCAACAAGAGTGAGTACACCTCTAAGTGAAAATGTCCAAATTGGGCC